TTTAACAATATTATAGGGGAAGTCTGTAATCCTCTCCCTTCTCCAGGAGCCTGCAGTAGTGACTATTACAAGGAAGTATGTACATTTTTGATGCTGCAATTAGTTTAACCTTTGCCTAACTGGTCCCTTTTATCCCTACATCTATCCCTGTAGGGTGGCAAGTTTAGCCTAGGGGATGCAGCATAGGTGTTACTACCAGGAACTCAGCAGTCAGAGTGCCTGTGGTCAAATTCAGCTCTGCCAGTTGCTGGTGGGTGATATTCAATGGATTACTTAACTCTGCTGAGCCCATCTATCAAGTAGAGATGATAATAAGCAGTATTAAAATGATATCAGTTATACAAAGTAGCCTTGCATTGATTTTAGTGCATTTATATATCACATTTAATTGCTCAATAATCTTATAATACCAAGATCTATATCCTCAAAAATTGTAAGAAGAGAAAATACAGAGGCAGCAATATTGAAATGTGCCTTTTAACATGAATTTCTTTATGTGAAATTCAGAGTTATAGAAAAGCACACGCACACAGAGAAAAAGAGAGAAAGAGAGAGATAGGAAGAGACTGTGTGTGTGTGTGTGTGTGTGAGAGAGAGAGAGAAAGAGAGAGAGAGAGAGAGAGAGAGAGCGAGAGAGAGAGAGAGAGATATCTATCTGTTGATTCCCTTCCCACTTGTCTGTGAAGGTCAGGTCTGCCCAGACAGAAGTCAGGATGTAGGAACTTCATTTAGGTCTCCCGTGGCAGTGGTAGGAACCCAAACACTTGGGCCAGCCTCCTCTGCTTGTCCCAGGTCATCAGCAGGAAAGTGGATCAAAAGTAAATCAACCGGAATATATACCACATATACCAGCATCCACTGAAGTTTGGTGTTTTAACCCATTACACCATAATGCTGGCCTTGATATTGCCTTTTTAATGTATTAATAAGAAAAATACAAAGTGTGTTTCTTTAGACATGTTTTCCAAGATCAGCCTGAAATCTCTATCGTTTAGAAAAATGACTTACAAATATATGCAAAAATAACAAATGCCTGAAGTTGAATTCATGATATCAAATCATGAAATAATTTCCTAACTAGTGACTAATTTTTTATTTGGTAAAACAAAAATGTATTTATTACATTTAATTTTTAAATTTTAGATGATATTTACATAGTTGATCAGGGTGGGAAAGATAGAGGAGTAGGGAAAAGTGGATGTGATCATTGTTTCCAAATTTTTTATTTCTTCTTCCTAAAATATAAATTTAAACCTACATTTTAATCAGCAGCATTTATGTAATGTATCACTTTTAACCTATTGCATTTTAGACATATTTAATACTTGGAAATACTGCTTCTCTTCCTTTTATCGCTCCCATCTACTAAATTAAACTATTATTTATTTTTCTTGTGAGTCTGAAAACTGATTGTACTATCTTACACAAAGTCTTTATTTTAAGAAATTTATTTTGAAGACCCCTTTGTTTAGGATCATGAATTGACCCATTCTCTATTACATTACATATTGTTTTGGAGTGTGAACTTAATTATTTACTTAAGTGTTGAATTATTTAAGTGATTTCTTGTTAGTACATGGTTTGATTTTAAAGTCTTTCATGTTTTAAATAATCCAGGAAACTCATAGACGGTTTTCACATATATAGTCTGCTATGGGAAAGCTACTTTGAAATTAAAAATAGATGTGAGAAGGGTAAGAGATATTTCTTAGAAGCAGAGATAAGGAGGTGTGGAGAATGGCAGGGCCCTGGCCTTAGGCACAGCTCGTCCCCGCCCCCTGTGCCTCTTCACATTCATGCAGCAGATGGGAACTTAGTTCTCTCATACGTTTTGTTTCCTTTATAGACATTCATTACATCTCACATTCATAGTAATTATTACTGGATTGGACTGTTGTATGACAAAAAGGAGAAAAAATGGAAATGGGTTGATGATGGTTTCTCACCTGGAATGTAAGTTTCTGGTGTGTGTTCAAACATTAACTTTGATGTAGGAGTTTGAAGGATTATGTCTAGAAGGAATCATCTTTCACATCACACAGTTTAACTTAACTTTGAGTAGTCCTCACTGGTAAGAATAAGAGTAAGAAAGCATTTTGGCAAGCAAAGACAAAGGAGAAGTGTCATATGGAGTTATTAATGATAAAGGTATACTAAATACATTCAGGATGTGTTATGAGATACAAACTGAAATGCAATCGTGAGTCTGAGAGATGAAGTGACTGTGCCATCTGACATAGCAAGTTATTCTTCCCTCACCCTTAAATGTGGTTTCTATGCATCCCCCCAAATTCAATTGTAACTCCTTTGTGTAATTAGTCTGTCTAGGAGATGGAGAAGGCAAAGAAATAAAAACAGTGAAAGGATTAATCATTCTAAGCTCTGAACTATATTGTTGTTCCTTACACTATATGTGCTCAGTAATTCAGTTTTTCCTCATTGAAAATTTCTCACTTTTAATGAAATTATGGAATAAGAAAAGAGATTCAACATACCATAATTTCAGAGTATTATTGAAAAGTATTTTTTTTTCTGTTAACCATCAATTACCAGTGTAGAATAAGCTGGGAGATTATGGATGAATGTATTTAATGGGCTAAACACAGAATAAAATCTTTTGGTATTGAAATTATGATTAACATTTCTATGTATCAGGAATTTAGGAAATACAGTTTTTAAAATTCACAAATGATGTGTTTGGAGAATTCAGAATTAAGGGATTGACTTTTATATTTTCTGTTCTGTAGGAATTTTTCATTTATGAATTTCCCTGGGACAGAACAATGTGGATTTTTATCCTCGATAAGAGTGGACGCTGTTCATTGTTCCAAAAATCACAGTTGCATCTGTGAAAAGAGCATTGATTGTATTCTCCCCACTTCAAGGTGTACTTAGAAGGTAAAACTAGAAGGCTGAAATATTCTTGTTTCCTGTATTAATTTGTGTTTGTTACTAACACATGTTTTTTTAAATGCATTCCTTAGCCCAATGTGGAAACAGAATGAACTATAAAAGCAAGAAACACCATCTTCTTCCTGAGGACAGATGCAAAACTTAACCTTGAGAAAGGAATTGCCCGTTTCTTCACAGCCCCAAGGAATTATTCTTTTTTTGTTGTTGTTGTTTATTTCTCTGAGTCATCCATGAAACCAATTGGACAATGCTGGTATAAAGCCTGGATCTTTTCCACTTCAATGGGTTCAACATGCTGCATCTTCTGACCTTGACAACACAAATAAGAATTAGAATGTGGTTACATTTTTACTATTACAAGTATTCTTCATCTTTAACAATTACTTTGCAATGGAAGTTAATTTTAAATTTATTGAACACTGAAAAGTGTAGTGCAGGGAATTCCCACACAACTTTTACCCGCGGTTGCCAATTGTTTTTATTTTGCCCTATCTGCTCTATTCTCTTTCTCTTTCACGTGTCCGTGTTTGGTGATCCAACTTATAATAAATTGAAGACATATTCCTTTGTGTAGATATTTTCCAAGAAAATGTTTTTTTCCTGTATAACCAAAATACAATTATCAAAATCAGAAAAATTAGCATTGATACAGCATTATGATGTAATACATAAACCATGTTCAAATTTTTGTGCATTTACCTGATACATGCTATTTTTCTGCCCTATATAGCTTTTTTTTCCCCTTCGTGTTCAGAATAATATGTGTATTTAATTATAATATCTTGGAATGGATGCCCTTAAAACTTGTATACAATTTAGGTCGGGGTTTTGAGCCCGTACTGGGAATTGTGAGTACCAAGTAATACAATAAAGATCGTCCTTATAACATCTGGGCAAAGACACAAAGAGACTCAGAGCGAGAGTGAGGTGATGGCAGAGGGAGAAGCTGCCATTTAGATCAACAAGGCAAGAAGCACCCAGAATTGCTGGCAGCCATTTGAGGCTGGAGAAGGACACAGACCAGATTCCTTCTCTGGGAGCCAAGGAAGAGACAGTTCTATTAACACCTCGATATGGGACTTCTGAGTTCAGAGCAGTGATATCATAAATTCTGCTGCTATAAATCATGGCATTTATGGAACATTGTTCATAGCAGCCCTATGTGTGTTAGTACATGGAAGTCTGGGCTGGGCCCCCAACATGGACAATCACTTCAGAATAAGGAGATGACAGATGGCATCAATGCTGCTGCTGCAGGATCACTCTTAGAGAAGCAGTGGTGTGAGTTGGTGACTTTGACAAATGTATACTTCAAATGTACTGAAGCATTCAAAATCCTCTTTAAGAGGAGAGTGGTGGTGGTGGTGGTGGGCGGAGGCCTATTTTTTGTCAACACATCAGAGTATCTGGTTTTGCATGCTGGCTCCACTCTTGACTTCAGCTCCCTGCATTGCAGACCTTGAGAGATAGGAAGTGTTACTACTAGCTGGGTCACTGCTGCTCAATTGAGAGACCTACACTGAGCTTCCTGCTGCCAGCTTCAGCTTGGGCTAAGTCTGAATGTTCTGGGCATTTGGGGTGTTGTGGACACTTTGGGTGTTAAGGCACCAGTGCGTGGGACCTTAGTCTGGTTTTCTTGTCACATCTCATGAAAAAAAAAAAAAAACACAAACTTGAGACTTGAACCTGCAAGTAGTGTGGGATACTAACATTTCATGTGGTGACTAAACGCACTGTACTACATGTTTCCGTCTGTCTTTCAAATAAATAATAAAACTAGACCATAGAATAGCTTTGATTCTGAAGATAAGGATAAAGAGAGTGGTTAGAAGAACCAGAAATCTTAAACTGGATCTTTCTAATTATTATAAAACTCAGAACATTTGAAGTCATTTAGTGGTAAATAAGATAGTAAACAGCCAAGAAGTTGTGACATTGGATTATCATTCTTCCTAGTGAAGTGAATCAGAGCAGGCTGCTCTGTTCTGGTGTCCATTCCGGCTGTCCTTCACTCAGCCCAGGACAGGAAGACCACAGCTACTGTGAAATGATAAAGTCACTGCGATTTCAAGGTGGGGTGAGAAGCTGTGTGCTATGCTTCTAGCTACTTGTGTCATCAGAAAGGAAATGTGTGGTTACCTAAATGAGAAAGGAAAAAAAAGATGGAGAAAGAGGAGGAAGAGGATGAAGAGTTGGGAGGAGGAAGACAAGAATAAGAAGAGGAAGAAGGAGAAGGAAGAAAAAGAACAAAAACAAGGAGGAGAGTGGAGGAAAGAAAAAGGTTATTGCAGCCAGAAATCAAGTGACTACACTGTCTCATTTGTGAAAAGAAAATACAAGAACATTAAACACATGATTCAACTTTCATTTATCTGTTTTGTTACTTTGGTTTGGATCTGGTATTGATCCAAACTTTATGAAGCAAAGGGCTGCATTAAACGCTTCAACTAATCCAATAGTTTTTAAAAATTGGTTATTTACAAAAAGTTACAGAATGAAGGAGAGAGAGAGAGATGGAAAAGATAGTTCTGCAACAACCAGGGCTGTACCTTGTCAAGGCCAAGAGCCAAGAGCTTCCTTCATGTTTACCTCTGATGGTCAGTGGCCCCAAGCACTTGAGCTGTCTTTTTCTGCTTTCCCAGGTGCATCAACGGGAGCTGGATCAGAAATAGAAAAACAGGTTACAAGTCAGTGCCCTTATAGGATACCAACATCACAGGCAGCAGGTTTACCTGCTTCACAATGCCCACCTCACCACTAATAAAATCTTAAATTAATGTAATCTGGTGCCTTCTCCTTTAAAGATGGACTTCCTTTCCTAGATATACAGACCATTGTCACACACAGGAGATAGAGATCAGAGAGAGAAAAAGCTTACTACACAATTTGGCTTTCTAACCGTTAGTCTCATTCTGCCTCTTTCTAAAACTACCAAGGACTAGATTTTTTATGATCAGTTCCTCTTAACATTATCTACTTTGTCCAGCAAGTGTCCTTGTAGACATCATACCTGCTTTGTAACACAGAGACAACACTAGGCATGGCAGATGTGGGACTCAACCTGATGGACATTACATTATTATGGTACAGGTTACATAGCAAGTATAAAATGATGCACTCTGCATTCCCAGCTTCCATCCTGAGAACTGTCCAACCTGTCAGCAGCTGTACATGTGGGAATCACCACAGAAAAGTAGCCTCAATATGTCCTCCACTATATCCATGGGACAACAATCAATACAGATTCGAGGCTGTAAAATAGTTTCTCTGGAGAATATCACTAGCCTAGAGTAGTTCCCCATCTGTCACACTGAGCTGATGTGCTATCCCCACCCACTCTTACAAACACCTGCACTCCCAGTTCCGTGTGTTAGAACAGATAATCTAACTCAGTGTGTGTCTCAGAGTGGGGATGTTTCTGACTAATACATCTCCACGTTGTTCTCCATCACAATTCCATCCCCCAAATCTGCTATCCATAATAGCCTGTGTTTGCAGGACTAGAGATGAACTGATTAACTTGGGGACTGAAATTGAAATAAAAAACTTCCTAAAGTTCACTTTGCAAAGACCTACAATGTCTTGGATTGGGTCAAGGCTGAAGCCAGGAGCCCAGACTTAACCTGGTTGTCCCACTGGATAGTAAGGCACTAGCTATTGGGACACTACTGCTGCCTTCGGAGTGCCACTTAGCAGGCAGCTGGAATCAGAAAGAGAGCTGAGCTGAGAACCCAGAACTCTGCTGTGTTCATCCCAAGGAGCTGCTTAACCAAGGTTCCTTGAATGGTTTCATAGAGCTGGAGTCGATGATGGCAAAGGCCTCAGTGGAAGGAAAGTGAATTTCAATGTGAGATTTGAGTATGTTCTTGTAGGGTCTGACTGTTGCAAAGGAGTTTCTCTGTAAACTTTAAAGTATGTGAGAATGTGAAGTCTTGAGGGCTATTGATGCAGATTTTTGAAGTAGTGTTTGTGGGCCAAAATGCAGTATAGGAATAATTTCATTTCAAATTTCAGATGTAAGGAATTGTGACTGTGGGACTGTTTAGGTGACATTGTGGCAGCCTCTTTCCCTCTGCTAATATGCCTGAAATGACTTCAGATGGTGGGCCAAGTACTGGGCCTCCTTCTGCTACCCACCTGGAAGACCTGGATAGAGTCCCTGGTGTCTGACTCAGCTCTGGCTGCTCTAGTCATCTGTTGAGTGAACCAGTGAATGCAAGATCGTCCTCTCTCAATGTTCCCTCAATTGTTGTGACTTTTAAATAAATATCTATTTAAAAATATGAGTATTTTTGTATACAACTGGTGGAAAATAAATGGGAACAACTCTTCTCGAGGGAGCTTAGTAATGCATCTCACAGTTGTTTGTATGGATATGCACTTTGATCCCATTGTTTTATCTTTAAGTTATTTTCTAAGAAAACTGTTAAAATCACAAGCTCATTTTTCATTATACTAGTACAGATTGTTTTGACAAACTTAAATATGTGTAGCTGGGGAGTGCTTAAATAAAGAATGCATGTCCCAAGTGAGTAATAATTGCATATTGTTTTAAAAATTATGACTCTGGGCTCCTAGCTTCTGATTGGCTTTGCTCCAACACTGGTGGCACTTGTGGAGTGTGCCAGAAGAGGAAGATCTTTCTCTTTCTCTCCTTCACTCTGTGAATCTGCCTGCCACCTCCCCCCGCAGCTCCCCCTAAAAAACTTAAAAAAAAATCATGTTTTAGAGCAGAGCACTGGTGTGTAAGTCATTAAACCACCTCTACTTTTTTGTTTGTGTTTTGAAAGTTAATCCGCTAATTTAAGAGCTCTCTTTGATCTGCCTCTTTGTTGATCTCTTGCTCTGCCTTTCAGATACATATAAATAAATTATTGAGGTTTGAAATTTTTAAGGGAAATGTTTAATACATATTGAAAAAAGGATAAACTCGACGCCCTGCATAATGAGACCAACTTTTGTGATAAGCATAATGGATAAACAAATAACTAGAAGAATAGAGCCAAATATATTTTAGTGGAATGAGGAGTGTTTTAAAATAACTTTAAAAATGCGTTTGCATTATATATATATATATGTGTGTGTATATATATATATACTTTTCTAAAAAATTTAAATGTAATAGAACATTTCTAACAGAGAGGAAATTATCTAAATTTGGAACTGAAAAATGAGCCGTATTCATTCTTGGATATGTGTGTATTCACACAGACAGTTCTCTCACTCACTTAAATAGTGGCTTCTTTTACATATGTTACTCTTGTGTTAAAAGATATTCATCTTGTTCTCGTGAACCATAATTGCTCTCTCTTCAGTCCGCAAATTCTGATTTTCGATGCTGCTTTGCAAGCAGGACGAAGTGATTGGTTATTGAAATGGAGGCACACACAGCTCATGACCATCCTCCCTTTCCTGTAAACAACAGTTTTCAGCATATGGTTTCCTTTCACCACTGTTTCAACAAGAGGGGCAGGACGTTTGAGTTGGAGTTTCATCTTTCAGACACCCCACTTCTCCTCTTAGAGCCCCGCAGGAGCTGTGGGACTGGAGTGGC